GCTTCTTTGCACTTTAAGACGGATATTCTTTGTTTCTGTTGTCTATTTGTAACTGTGTGTAACGGGTGGAACCACCAGGGGTCGCTTCCTCCACATTTTGAGCTCCCATAAAAGGGAAGCTGTCAGGCTGGTGGGCAATTGTCAATCTCCTCTGTGTTTGACCAGGTGTGTTGGCCCACAAGTCCCACTGTTGCGATCAGGTTTGTGTCAGTTTTTTTGTTGTAAAGAAAAACTCTTAATCTGATTATATTCAGTCAGTGTTTGTGTGATGTTTTTATATAGGGCCACACTTCATGTTTTGAGCTGACGATTCCTACCTGGGCGTGTGGTTGGTCGACGCTGCAGGTAGGCTTTGTATATTTTTTAACTGGATTGAATTGAATGGTTTTATTGCAAAGATTTAATAGGCGTTTGGTAATTTGTGTTTTTTGCAGTTGTCGCTGCATCCTGCTGTTCTTTTAGTATGATTTTCTTTTTCCATTGTTTTTCNCAAGCTAACTAACTGTGGGTTAGGATTTGTTGGGTCAGATTGAGTGCATTGCTGTTGAGTTAGTTTGGTTTGGTTAAGGTTAAAGTTAGTGTTCTTTTAGTGAAGGTTAAGGTTACCCAGGGTTAAAGTTAATTTGGTTTAGTAGTGGTTAGTTAGGCTGAAGGTTAGTTTAGTTTTCATATTGTCGTATTTTCAGGGTAATTTCTCGGTTCTGTTGGACTCTGCTGCTGGTTTCTTCTATCGCCGTCTCGTCTTCTCTGATATGTGAAACCCAAACGGGCCAGCTGAAACTTGCTTCATGTTCTGAGCTGTGATTGGACAGCCAGGGTCTGTCCAATCACAGAGTGAGGTGACTTCCTGTTGAGTGAATAAGGTGGGAACTGGGCCAGCCCTCACATGTTACTGGCTGCTGTTGCTACCAGAACTGTCAGAGCAGAACCAGGCAGGAGAAAAGCCAATAGAACCCAATAGGACCAGGTCCGGTCTGCCTGAGCTGGGTTGCTGACCCGAGTCCTTCACAGCTGTGGCAGTATGTGTGGCTCAGAGGGAGCGGCTGGACTCAGAGCGGTCCTCACAGAGACACACTCCCCTGACACACACACAGTCACATCTGGAGAACATCAGCAGAGTGGGCGGTTCTGGTCCCAGGCGGGTTGGCTGGATCGGATCAGACTGCTGCCAATTCTCACATAGAATCAGCTGCTTCCCTGTCGGGTTCTGGGACCGGTTCTGGACCATGAAGCGTCTCGTCAGGACTCTGCTGCTGGTGTCTGTCCTGCCGTCCCTCTGCACCGTCTCTCCGCCTCCGGACTTCGAGTGTGGCATGTCCTACCGTAAGTCTGCTGCTGTCCTCTGCACTGCTGGACAGCTGGACACTTCAAACCGTCTCCACGATTATTTTTGCAGTTGATGGGAAGCTGAAGTAAAATATCTGAACTCATTTCTGAGTTTGAAAGGCTGATGGCAGGAAGCTGCCACGGCTTTAGAGACTTCGGCCAGAAATTCTGAGGTTTGATTCTGGTTTCTGTAAACAAGAGATGTTTACAGTATCTGACAGCCCAACCTTCAAACGCTTCAACGATTTTACCAGCAAATTAAGACAGAGCAGAAAATTATGATAGAGCAGAAAATTATGATAGAGCAGCAAATTATGACAGAGCAGAAAATTAAGATAGAGCAGCAAATTATGACAGAGCAGCAAATTATGACAGAGCAGAAAATTAAGATAGAGCAGCAAATTATGACAGAGCAGCATCTGGTGAGACAACATGTCGTCGATAAAACCGGTTGAGGCTGAGAGCAAAAACAGTTCAAACTGCTGTGTGTTCTGGTGTCTATAGGTCTATAGTTGCTGAGCGTTCTGGTCTCTATAGGTCTATAGTTGCTGTGTTCTGGTCTCTATAGGTCTATAGTTGCTGAGCGTTCTGGTGTATATAGGTCTATAGTTTGCTGTGTTCTGGTCTCTATAGGTCTATAGTTGCTGTGTGTTCTGGTCTCTATAGGTCTATAGTTGCTGAGCGTTCTGGTCTCTATAGGTCTATAGTTGCTGAGCGTTCTGGTCTCTATAGGTCTACAGTTGATGAGCGTTCTGGTCTCTATAGGTCTATAGTTGCTGAATGTTCTGGTGTATATAGGTCTATAGTTTGCTGTGTTCTGGTGTATATAGGTCTATAGTTTGATGTGTTCTGGTCTCTATAGGTCTATAGTTGCTGAGCGTTCTGGTGTATATAGGTCTATAGTTGCTGTGTGTTCTGGTCTCTATAGGTCTATAGTTGCTGAGTGTTCTATTCTCTATAGGTCTATAGTTGCTGAGTGTTCTGGTGTCTGCAGGTCTACGAGCCTTCCGGGTGACGACCAGGTGTAACCTGACCACCCTAAAGGAGAAGCAGGTGAAGGAGATCCAGGCTTCGACCACCAACCTGCTGCTGCCGATCATCTACCTGTCGACCTTCTGCGTCGGACTGCCCACCAACCTGTTGGCTCTCTGGATTCTCGTGTTCCGGACCAAATGTCGGCCGTCGACCACGCTGCTCATCAACCTGACTGTGATAGACTGCTTGCTGTTCCTGGTTCTGCCGTTTCGGATCGTCTACCACTTCCGGGGGAACCACTGGGAGTTGGGGGAGCCTCTCTGCCGGATCGTCATGGCGATGCTTTACGGGAACATGTACAGTTCGGTCTGGTCCCTGGCCTTTGTGGCTGTGGACCGGTACGTGGCTGTGGTTTATCCGTTTGGTGCGAAGAGTTTGCGCAGCCGGCGGTGGTCTCGGGGCCTGACGGCCGCGGTGTGGGTGGTGATGCCGGCCGCCATGTTGCCTCTGCTGCTGTCCCGGCAGACTTACCCTCTGGACGACCCCAACATCACCACCTGCCATGACGCACTGCCTGAGAGCGTGCAGGAGAACTACTTCCTGCCGTACTTCGCCACGCTGTTCACCACCTGCTTCCTGCTGCCCTTCATCATCGTGATGTTCTGCCACAGCGCCATACTGCGCACCCTGCTGGCTGAAGGCAGGAAGTACTGTCACGCTATCAGGGTGACGGTTCTGATGATACTGGTGTTCGTGGTGTCCCTGCTGCCCTGTAACGTCCTCCTGATCCTGACCTACAGCGACAGCTGGCCGGACGGTGAGGACCTGTACGTCCCCTACATGATGAGCCTGGCCACCAGCACCTTCAACAGCTGCTTCCACCCCTACATCTTCTACTTTGTCTCCAGAGATTTCAGAGAAAGGACCAGGAGCGCTCTGTGCTGCCTCCATGACATGGAGGACAAACCGTCCTCTCAGGGGACACACACCTCCTCGTCAGCGGGGCAGAGGTCAAAGGTCACTCTGCTGGCCATGGCAGGTCTACAGGGGACGCCTGACCCAGCAGCCAGAGGTCAACATGATGACGTAACAGTCAGCTGATGCTGGTTTACGTCAGGAGCAGCCGGACGCGCCGGGCCTCCAGATCCTCCTTCCAGTAAAAGAAATAGCTACTGGATTTTTTTACTATAAACAAAACTGGAGAAAAAATGTTTTCTGTGTCAAAACATTTTGTACGTGTGTCCGTCCTGAACCTAACTCCTATTGGTCAGTTTACTTTTGTTCATTCGTCGTTCTTTCTGTAAGCCATTGTTTCTCCACCCTGGTCCTCAGGCCCCTGCCTGCATGTTTCAGGTGTTTCCCTTCTGCCACCTGGATTGTATCTCTGGGTGATTAACAGGTTTCTGCAGCTCTTGACCGTCATGCAGACATTTTAATCAGCTGTTCTGGAATAGAGGCTCATCTAAAACATGCAGAGCAGGACTGAGGACTGGAATTGAGAAGCTCTGCTGTAAGCCAACTGAGACAGTGCAGTGGAGCTAGCTACGAATGAATAACCGGAGTTCGACCCGTCCTGTAGCTCTGGGTGAACCCTGCTGGTTTAACAGCTTATTTTGTGTGGTTTTGCTAACTGAAGAGCTGATGGGTCCGTGACGTCGGCCGCTGTTCCTGAACATTACCCAACACTGCCGGAGCGTTAAACAGTTAGATCTAGTTAAAACTTTGCCAAAAAGAGTAGAAATGAAGCAGACGCCACCTGAACCTGGGAGTCTCCGGCTTTGCTTTCCAGGCTTTATTATTTAGCATAACTTGTTAAAAAAAATCCTGGAAAAATGTGCAAACAGATATAAAAAGTATTTTTAGGCATTTATTTAGATTTGGACCCATCTAAATATTTTAGGGATAATTTCCTCGACAAACACAATAAATATGGATTAGCGTCTTGCTTCTGGTTGTGAAGAAGTGCATCACATATGCTTGGCTAAGACCACAACCTCCCAATCACACAATAAAAAGGTCAACAAACAACATGAAGACCAAACCCAAGATGGAGACGTTGGAAACCTGGAACTAGATTCATATTGTAACCTTTAGTTTATTTTGTATTATTGTTATTATGTACTTTTAATACATAATCACAGTACATAGCACTGTGCTTCACAGTACAGTATTATTATTGTATTACTGTTGTCCCTTTCACTGTAATTATTGTGGATTTCTATATTCATGGATGCTATTGGCTTCTCTTCATGATGTATTTCTGTTTGCTGTTTTCCTCCATCATCCTACAGGTGAATTAGAGAACCTGTTATTGTAGCTTAAATTATCTGTGTAAATAAGATGTGAAATGTGACAAAGGTGGACATGTTTATGTTTGTATAAGAAAGTTATTGAAAATAAAAAATCCTGCCTGATCCGCTGCTTTAGGCCCGGTGCATTATGGGATGCTGCGTGTTGCTGTGGTTCTGAGTCGGGTTCAGGACCGTACGCTCCGGGTTACGTTTCTGTTTCTTGTTGTTAAACTGAAATAACAGCAGCATTCAAGAATCGCCCATTCTTGAATGAAGCCCAGAACAAACAGCGTTTCCTCTCAGAACCGGACAGTTGGAAGAACTTTGTTGACACGGTCCGGTTCTGTTTCACCGCATCAGAACATGAGGCGGTTCAGATTCTGACCAGCAGACATTCAGTTAGAGATCAAACTTCACAAAGTGAAGATGAATGAACTCTGCGCTTCGTCCCAACAGTTTCTGCTCTGACTGGATGAGGAAGACGAAGGCCCGCTGGCTCAGGAAGTTCGTCCGTATCTGATGGAGACAGGAAGCTGCTGTCATCAGTCACAGCTTTAACAGAACCAACAGGAACCCTACAACAAGTCAGCCACCTCTCCGTCTGCGACAGAAAACAATCCAGACCAATCGGCCTTCACTGTGGTGCCATCTCTGGAAAAATCCTGATCCAACTGAACCTTATCCATGAAGACACAGAGACGTCAGTTCCAGAGACCTGGCCTCATGTAGAAAGCGGCGTACGCACAAAAAGTTTGCGTAAACAAGGGCGAAGCAACGAGTTTCCCATCGGGGACACGTAACGGAAAGCCGACAGTAAACAGTTTGAGCAGAAATGTCCAACAATGACATCATCAACGCGTTACTCTACTCTGACCCCTGGTAACCTGTAATCTAACGGGTTACTATTTGCAATCCAGTAATCAGATTAAAGTTATGCATCCACATCACTGTGTGTTAATCTGCAGTTTTTCTAGTAAACACATATTGTTGCTTTCTAATTTTTCCTTTGGAGTTAGGTTTGGTTTAACACCAGCGACACAAACGATGGAGGGAAAAGAAAGATGCACATTTTCTAACTGATGGATTTTCCATTGAGTAATCAAATTACTTTTCAAAGTAACTATGCCGTCCCTCAGGGCCGGCCCAAGCCTCCATGGGGCCCTAAGCGAAATTTGGTTTTGGGCCCTCTAGTTCTGCTAATATTGTGGACTGGCTGCAATCAGCAGTCAGATTATTAGATCATTCAAAAACTTGCTAAACTTATTGCATCTTTGACAGTGAAGTTTACATTATATCCTGTATGCATGAATAATGTAGGATACATGTGTTGGCCCATTCACCGGCGCCGATTTCCTTAACTCTGGGGAATGAATGATCAGCTGATACTCAGATGTGAAGCCGATCTTATGCACCTCAGCAAAGGTTTATAACTCAGCCTCTGTCCTCTTCTGCTCTGCAGTGAGACGTTTGACTGACAGACCAACAGGTCTGAACGTTTACAGTTAATAATATTCACCCCCTGTGGAAACTCAGTGACTTTCTTGCTACATTTAGCAACATTTCAGACAAAAAAAATGGTATCAACAAAAATCAAAATTGACAGGTAAAGCTTTCTAAAGATCGGTAATCAGCGATCAGCCAGAAAACTGAAATTGATGCAGCCCTGCACACAGTCATGACATTCTCTGATTAAATTAATTTCTGTTAGGAGTAATTATAATAATTTATACCAGGAGAGTCTTTCTCACCTGACCGGTACTGAGTCTTCAAACAATTTTAACTGGAGGAGTTTCACTTACAAATTGATGTAAAAATAATGCTTGTTTTAGATGCATAAATGATTATTCTCAGCAGCAAACTAATATATAATGCCAACTACAGCATAGAGCAGATCGTTGATATATTAATGTAGCAGCTATGTAGCCTGATGTAAAACATTTTACTAGACAATGTCAAACACTGAGAAGTTTTATTAAATGTTATCAAATGTGCCGTTTTTTAGCTAAAAAAC